TTTTTAGCAATTGGCACAATTATCCCGTCCTTCCATCGCTCTGGGAAACCTTCTCCTCTCCACACCCTTCTACATATCTCCCCCATAGCTCTTCTTAACCCCTTTCCTCCCCAGATCCACACCTCATTCTGTATCCCATCCTCTCCCGCCGCTTTTCTCTTCTTCAGTTTTCCCATCGCCCTCTCAATCTCTTCCATTTCTAATTCATCTTCCCCCTCCCTTTCCCCCTCTTCCGCCCCTCCTCCCCTCCTTACCCTCCCTGGCCCTCCGTCTACTCCTATCTCTCTACCTCCTAACAATCCCCTAAAATAATTATCCCACTCCTTCATCTCTATCTCTTCGTTTACCTCTATTCCTCTCTTCCTCTCTTTATTGATTATTTCCCATACCTGCTTTTGCGTCTTCGCCTCCTTCGCCCGTTTCATCCACTTCTCATTCTCTTCTCTCTTCCTTTCCTCACACCATACCTTATACTCTTTTTTTTTCCTTATAATCTTCCCTACCTCTCTTCCTCTTTTCCACTCTTTCAGCATCGTCTCTACCTCCTTCTTTCTTCTTTTTCCTTCCTTGCCCCACCATCCTCCACTTCCTCCTTTCCTCTTTCTCTTCCTCTCCACCCTGACCATCTTTTTAATCTTCCCGATCAACTCCTCCCACGCCCCATTTACCCCCTCTTCTCCTATCTCTATCTCTTCCGTTACTTTCCTGAATTCTTCTCTTGCCTCTTTCGTCCAGCTTACCTTCTCTATCCATATTTTCCCCTTATTCTTCTTTCTCTTCCCTCCCTTTCCTCCCAGCCATACTGTTATCGATTGATGGTCCGAGTCCATCTCTCCCCCCACCTCTAGTCTCTCTATTCTTTCCCAAGCTCCCCTATCCCCTATCACGTAGTCTATCACCGTCTCCCCTCTCCCTCCCGTAAATGTCATCACCCTTTTTCGTCCCCCTCTTTTCCCCCATTCATTATGCCCCATCCTTCCTCCTCTACCCATTTTATCAGCTCTCTTCCCTGTTTATTTACTACTTTATCCTTCGAATTTCTCCCCCTTCCCTCCTCCCCGTCTTCTATCGCTCCATTCTCTCCCGTCCTCGCATTAAAATCCCCCCTACTATCCACCCCTTTACTCCTCTCCTATCTTCTTTTCCTCCTTTTATCTTTTCCAGTACCCTCCCCATTTTCTCTCTAATGTACACCGTTCCTACCTGCCATCTCTCTCCCTTCCACACTATCTCTTTTATCATCAACCCCTCATCATTCTCCCCTCCTTCCTCTCCTTCCAATCCCTTTCTAACCCCATCCAGATGCCGCCCTTCACCCTTCCTCTCCTTCCTTCCTTTTTCGCTCCTTGTATCGACAATCTAAATTTTCCCGGTACCCTCTCGTTCCATGCCTTCCACTCACCTTCTTCCACCCATGTTTCCACCAATCCTACGACATCCCATTCCTCAATCCTTTCCCAAAATCCCTCGTCTTTCCCCCTTACCCCCGCCACGTTCCAAAAACCTATTTTCAGCCCTTCCTCCTGTTCACCCTTTCTTGTCTTCCGGTTAACCCTCCTCCCTCCTATCTCTCTCTCTCCTCTCCCTTCCTCTCTTCCCCTCCCTTCTACTTTCCCTCTCTTTCTCCCCCCCTATCCTCCTCCTCTCTCTCTTCTCCTCCTTTTGAGGTTATTATATTATACCGCAAAGGCACGGGTTAAATATTACCCAATCACTCAAATTACCGCGTGAATTCGAAAATCCTCGTCGCTACTGTTGTGTCTGTGAGTGAGGAAGGGTACTTCTACGAATAAACAGACGAGCTCAGCGTTAACGATATATATTTTCGTCACGTTCCTTCTCTCGCCTACACCCCACTGCACTCACCGTGCAGATGTCGCTAGTCCCTTCCTCGGCTCGCGGGATTACCCCGGGTATCCAACATACAGGAGATGGAATATTCATTTCATTCACTTTCTACAAAATACATAAATATACATGAAGAATTTTATTAACTTCAATTTATATATACAACATCACGAGACACGGTAGTGTCTCGCGCCAAGTGTAAGCGTAGCTAGCACACGCGTGCGAGACCGACCGTGTAAGTTTACGCGAGTACACGAATTGACGGGCCGTCAGATTTTCGGATCTCAACAACGGCTGATCCGACGAACTTGATACTGCGTTTAATCGATAACTTGGGTACGATTTGCATAATAAAAGTGTTTTTACTTTTCTCCTACGTGCCCCAGGAGTGGAGGTATTGCAATGCAATTGCAATGCAAAGTCAATTTTGTGAAATTTTGGATTAAGAAACATCTTTGTCAACGTCCTCGTCCTCGTCCTCGTCCTCGTTCTGGTCGTCGTCGTCGTCGTCGACCAGACCAGCATCCTTTTCACTTGACCACGTTGCAATTGACCACGGTCCCGATCGACCACGTTGCAATTGACCACTGTCTCGTTTGACCACGAGCTAAAAGCACACACACACACACACACGCGCACGCGCACGCACACACACACACACACACGCACACACGCACACACACACACACGCTTCCGGTAGGAAGCGTGGACCGTGGTCAATCGGGACCGTGGTCAATTGCAACGTGGTCAATACTTGAATAAGTTATATGTTACCTAACCTATAACACAGGGACCTAGTGAGACAGTAACGAGTAACGAGATATAAATAAAAACAAGCCTTTACGTCTCGTGCACCGCGGGACCGCGCACCATGGAACGCAAGAAGGCTCCGTACAAAATCGTTGATTATTCCCTGGCGTTTAATATCACACAATCGGTCATTTCGAGGTTCTCTCTCGTAATAAAATAATAATTTTGCACAATTATATTCTGATAAATAAACAGTACGAGATATTTAACACTACAAAAGGTGTGATATCACGTAAAAAACTTACCTTTTTAAAAAAAAGGTAAAAAAAGCACCAAGTATAAGCTCCAATTCAACCGAATATATTTTGTTACTCTATCTTTTTTGCAAAAGTATATTCTCTACAAAAATATCTTCTCTACAAAACTATCTTCTCTACAAAAGTAATGATATCAACAAATTGCGCCAAATATAACAACGGATATTTATACAAACTAGTTGCTTTAGTATTAGTTTTTGATTAAAAAATGTTATATTTCTTAAAAAATCACACTAAAGATTTTATTGGAAAAAATAATGGAGTTAATAATAAAACACCGATGAAAAGAATAGCAACTGTTTAGAAATTTAGAAACTCTGTATCTATTCAGGCGAATTAAGGCCTGTGTCCATGGCGCTAGTACTTGGTCCAAGTTTTTTACGTGATATCACACCTTTTGTAGTGTGTAATATCTCATAATGTACTCTTTACTTGGCACAAAACTCGACATTTTTAGAATAATATTATCACAACCCCGATGGTCGAGTTGGTACTCTTTACTTGGCACAAAACTCAACATTTTTAGAACTAAAAAAAGCTGTTTGCTCTGTGGCGAAATAACATACATACACTGAAGTTCAAGCTTACCGATAGTACTTCTTTGTAGATGCATTACTATCTGAAGTTGCATGCACATAGTCCTGGAAATACCATCTGTTACGAAACAGCGAGAACTTATTCAAGGGAGTGGCACCCGTTTGGCCACGTTAATATTGACCACAGTCCCGATTGACCACGTTAATATCGACCACGTTGTGTATGACCACGTTGATATTGACCACGTTGCAATTGACCACGGTCCCGACTGACCACGGTCCCGATTGACCACGTTGCAATTGACCACGGTCCCGATTGGCCACGGTGTAATTGACCACGGTCCACGCTTCCTACCGGCGGGGTGGGTGCGGGGAGGGGACCGAAAGCCCCCTCGCACCCCCCGCGCGCGCGCGCGCGCGTCAATCGGGATCGTGGTCAATTGCAACGTGGCCAATCGGGACCGTGGTCAATTGCAACGTGGTCAATCGGGACCGTAGTCAATTGCAACCTGGCCAATCGGGACCGTGGTCAAGTGCAACGTGGTCAGTCGGGACCGTGGTCAATTGCAACGTGGTCAATCGGGACTGTGGTCAATTGCAACGTGGCCAATCAAGACCATGGTCGATTGGAACGTGGTCAATCGGGACCGTGGTCATGTGCAACGTGGTCAATCAGGACCGTGGTCAATTGCAACGTGGTCAATCGGGACCGTGGTCAACGCAACGCCAATGCCACGTTGCGGCAGAAAAGTTAAAAGGATGCTGGTCTGGTCGACGACGACGACGACGACGACGACCAGGACGAGGACGACAAAGATGTTTCTTAATCCAAAATTTCACAAAACTGACTTTGCATTGCAATTGCATTGCAATACCTCCACTGCTGGGGCACGTAGGAGAAAAGTAAAAACACTTTTATTATGCAAATCGTATCCAAGCTATCGATTAAATGCAGTCTCAAGTTCGTCGGATCAGCTGTTGTTGAGATCCGAAAATCTGAGGGCCCGTCAACTCGTGTACTCGCGTAAACTTACACGGTCGGTCTCGTACGCGTGTACTAGCTACGCTTACACTTGGCGCGAGACACTACCGTGTCTCGTGATATTTACAAGTCTACATTGGATTGGCCAAATATGGATACTTCCTGATCTGTCTAAATTACAACCATCAGTATTAAAATCTATTTCTAATAAATTCGGAAGTAATGTAGTTCGAAAGCGCGAAAGAGCTTGATGTATTCTATTTTCTATATTAAAATGGATATATTCGCCTGGTTCTATTTTGGATACAGCAACTTTTCCTCGTGGCGTATTTATATGAGTCCTTACATCCTTTGGTAAGTTATAAAGAGAAGGATGTGTTCGAAGAACAGATAGCAGATTATTAGCTTGTACATGACTAAATTTGTTATTTACAATGCAGGATGCCAATCTTTTTTCAAATGATGGTTCAACTGAGGACATACTAACGGAAGACGAATCATCATCAGAAGTACAATCATCGTTAGAAGGAATTATATCATGCTCAACGTTTAGATTAAGCATATTCTTCTCAATATCAGTATCAAGGTTGAATGCAAATGAACTGTCTACATGTGAAGAGCTTGGTATATCTTGAATATTACCAATAATATTATCATTCATAAGATTAGGAACATTATCAATATCATTTGGAACGTTAGGAATATTAGAGACATTGGGAGTATTTGGAAGTGGTAGTTTTGTGCAATTTTCTTTACATTTTAAATTATTTCTAATTTCGCGTGTGATTTTTCTCCGTTGCCTTCTGCTCAACGTATGTAAACTTTTTCGCGAAATAGAATGTTTTAAAATAAATGGTTTCATAATTACGTGTACAACTCGTCTTTTAGTTACTTTCTTTTTCCATAAAAATCCTTCTATTGTTGACCTCTTATTTCCACCAGGTATTATGCCCACTGCGATGTCTGTCCGAATAATTGTCGTCCAGTCACAATTGTGATAAATGACCGCTCAACTAAGAAAATATACAGAAGATGCATTAGTATTAGTTTTGAAAAGTCATATTACCATCCACGCGTTTACCATATAATAAACATATCATTTATTTTATTATCAGGATTGGTTGTAAATGACAATATTCATATGTAAAGAATGTGATGTGTGTTGTCAATTATAAATAGCATTAGGCACATAATTTATAGGAACAACTGTCTAACAAAATTTTTAAAAAATTGTTTACATTGTAAAGTATTTGTAATTTTGGATCTAGTTTTTTCTGTTGCTTAACGCACAACATATACAAATAATTTTTGTAAAATGTGATGCTTTAAAATACATGTTTCCATAATCATATACTGTACCTGCAATTTATTATATAACCCTCTATCGTTTCTAATACTCTTATTGAACGAGACTGAACATATTTACAATATATATTATTAAGATTGTAAACAAACATTCCATATGTAAAAGACTTGTTGTGTGTCACGATAAACAT